GCAACATGGGCAGAAGCAAACAACTGAGAACCTACATACTGGACGGGAGAAAACATGAAAGACCAAACTTGAGTTTGTGTGAAGAACTATTCCTGTACCAGGTAGAACATGGAAGACATTTTCATTTGGAACAGCCTGTCGGTTCTGAGATGGTAGTTCAACCCGAATTGGAACAATTGAGATGGGGTACTCTGCCAACGGTTTTTGACATGTGTGAAGTGGGTAGGCTGAATTGGAAGGGTGAGTCGATGAGAAAGAGAACGATAGTTTTGACGACCTCCCGAAATTTGCACAGAGCGCTAGACTGTCGATACTGTCGCAAGAAACATGAACACAAGCAGATTGCAGGACAGGTGAAACACCTTGGAAGGTGGATGCCACTTTCTGCCTTCGCTGCGAAGTACTCGTCAGACTTTGCGCGTGCAGTGGTTTGAGCTGTACAGATCGATCCTCAAGAACGTCCTTTAGTGTTTGATGAACTCTTAATTTCAGAAAAAGGACAAGAAGTAGATGAGGCATTGGTAGGGGAGGCATTGAAACGAAGACGACTCATCTCGAAGCAAACGGTAGGAGAGAGGACACAAGAAGATAAAGATTTGGATGTCAATCGTAGGATGGACTTTGAAAAGAGAATCAAGACCCTTTTTGGAGACCTGGACAAACTGGCCCCGAGAGTAGGTTCAATTGTTCTAGGACCGGAAACTACTGTCTTCAAACAGGCCCAGGGTTTCTGTACCTTCCGACTAGTACATGCAGAGGTATGTCGAGGGACTGAACGGTTGAGGATTCCCAAAGCGTCTACTCCTTTGGAAGATCTTGTTTTCAGAAAAACCTTTTCGCTTCGTCGATCGTCCGGAAATATCGAACAAGTCGGAGAGGAAGAGGAATGGCAAAAGCTGCCACAGCGGCAGCGCATCAGAAAGGGGATTCCTTCGAAGATTACTTTAACCCTGTTTGGTACTAAGCAACCTGAAACGTCCGGCCGGGAACCAAGGAAAGACGACATGATGATTGAACCTGTCGGGGAGAAACGAAAGATTGAAGATGTTCCAGAAGAAGAAACCTACGTAGGAAAGAGGTCTAGAATGGGGATGGGGGACACTGACTTGATGGAAAATGACCCCGAAAAGAAGGGAGATCCTCAGACATCAGGGGAAGAGTTAGAGATTCCTGGAAGACCACCCCGGAATTTGTCAAGACATGGCCCTGGTTACCTGAATCTAGATAGGGAGAAACAAAAGTGGATTCAACAGGTACACCACAGACTTGGACATCCGGATGCCGACACGTTTGTTCATTTTCTTCGATCCACGAACGCAGAGTCGGAGTTGACGGACGCCGCCCGTGATTACCAGTGTGATGCATGTTCAGAGTCCCGGAAAGGCTTCGATCTTTCAAAGGTTGGGGGGATACATGAGAATCTTGGTTTTAATGACACCATCGGTATGGATGGTGCAGTGTGGACCAATGCTCAGGGAACCCAATTCCATTTCACGCACATTATCGATGAAGGGACACTGTTTCATGTAGCCCGACCATGTGGTAGTGATTCGAGTGCACAATGGAATCTGCTAGAAGATCACTGGTTTAGTTGGGCAGGACCTCCAAAGACCATTTATGTGGACCCCGCAAAAGAATATTTGAGCGAGGCATGGATGACGCGAATACAAGAACTAGGGATCACCCTGAAAGTTTCGGCCCGTGAATCACATTGGCAACTAGGCAGGGTGGAGGCCCATGGATCCATCCTGAAGGGAATGTTGACACGTATGGATCTAGAGGTACCAATCCTAGAAGAGGAGGCATTCAAACGAGCCATAGTCCAAGCATGCCATGCGAAAAACTCATTAACACGGAAATCTGGGTACTCACCCGAACAAGCGGTTTTGGGGTGTGCGACCAGACTACCGGGTTCCGTTACTTCAGATGATAGTGCACTGAGTCATGAAAGAGCGCTAGATGAGGGCCCCAATAAGTTCAAAGAAGCTTTAGACCTCCGAGAATCAGCACGAAGAGCTTTCATTTCCTTGGATAATTCAAACAGTCTAAGACGGATCATGTTGCGGAGAAGTAGACCGGTTAGGGAGAATTTTGAGGTGGGGGACTTGGTTTTGTATTGGAAACGAAAAGGTGGAAACATGAGACGGGAACGAGGACAGTGGTTTGGACCTGCTCGTGTCGCCCTTGTGGAAAGTAGGAAGGTGATATGGTTGGTGCACGCCCATCGTCTAGTTCGAGCTAGTCCACAACAGTTGCGTGCAGCTTCACTTAGGGAATGGAAGATGATCAAAGACACCGAAGAGTTTAGAGTACCAGCCCCTGATTGGGCTCGTAGGATAGGTCACCAGGACTTGTGCGAGCTTGATCCAGATGATCTTCCTGAACCGAGTGAACCCGATGTCGAGCGGCCCGATCCCGGCGAGACACCTGGGGAACCAGAAGATGTTTTGGTTCCTGAGCCTGAAGAAGAAGTATCTGCTCCGACTAGAAAACCTTCCATGAACGTTGAGGTAGACGGCACCGATGTTCCGGTTCCTGAGGATGATGAATTATTTGGGGATACCATTTTCTTTCAGGAGGTTGGTCAGGGGCGGTGTTGGGAAATAGATGTGACACCTGCCTGTGAGATCGAAAGTGCTGGTGGAACACCAGATGCCCTGATTTTGGCCGCTGTTTCTGAACGAAAGAAGAGGACTGAGATAAAGTTGAAGGAGTTGTCCCAGGAAGATCAGAAACGGTTTGCAGTGGCCAAGCATAAGGAACTTGGCGCCTGGTTGCAGCACAAGACAATTCGAAGAGTATCCCAGGGCAAGATCCCCGACAATGCCATCATGCGTTGCCGATGGCTGTATGTTTGGAAGACAGCATCCGGAGACGAATTACCTACGGATCTGTCGTCTGAAGGAAAGAAAGCCAAGGCCCGTTTGATTGTTATAGGTTGGGAGGACCCTGACTTGGACCAGGTGATCAATGATGCACCAACTCTCTCGAAGGATGGAAGGACCGTTTTGCTTCAAGCAGTTGCCAGTCATCAATGGCCTTTGATTTCTTTTGATATCTCAACTGCTTTTCTTCATGGAAAAGGTGACGGTCGACCCCTAGGTCTAGTTCCGGTTCCAGAAATGCGTGAGGCCCTGAACATGTCAGAGACAGACCAGGTGCAACTGGATGGGGGAGCATATGGCAGGATAGATGCTCCCTTTCTTTGGTTCTGTGAGTTTAGGGATGAACTGAAACGCCAAGGATGTCGACAATCACCTCTCGATCCCTGCGTTTTTACCTACCACTCCCAGGATGGTCTGGAAGGCTGTCTTGGGATTCACGTTGACGACGGCATTGGCGGAGGCAGTCCAAAGTTTATGGACATGCTACGTAGGGTAGAGAAGAAATTTAAGTTTGGGGCTTTTGAAGAAGGAGAATTCACCTATACCGGGATTCATTTTAGACAGTGGGATGATGGATCGATTGAGTACGACCAGGTCCCCTACATCGAGAAGATACAGCCCATAGCTCTTGGGAGGGGACGCAAAGAAGATCCTGAATCCTTGATTTCTGAAGGTGAAAGGACCGCTTTCAGAAGCCTCATTGGAGCACTCCAATATGCAGCAGTACATAGCAGGCCAGATCTAGCAGCCAAAGTAGGAGAGTTGCAGAGTGAGGTCACCAGGGCACAGGTAAAACATCTAGTTTTGGGGAACAAGGTGCTGACAGAGGCCAAGCAGAATCGTGTTTCATTGATGGTGTTACCGATCCAGCCCGAGAGAGTGACCTACTGTGCATTCTCGGATGCCTCCTTTTCATGCACCAAACATACCACGGCACAACAAGGAACCATAATCTTTGCCACGACACCCGAACTTTTGGAAAATAAGAGGTCTGTGGTAGCTCCAGTCGCCTGGTATAGTAAGAAGATTCCTAGAGTTGTCAGAAGCACACTTGGTGCAGAGGCAGCAGCACTGAGCAATTCAGTCGACCGACTTTTGTGGCTCCGGATCCTGTGGGCAACAATCCTCGACCCGGACTGTGATTGGAAAAATCCTGAGGTTTTGTTGAAGAGCCAGAATCAAGCAGGCCTAGTCACCGACTGTAAATCGGCCTACGACCTTTTGACACGAACAGCGTTGCCACAGTGTTCTGAACACAGGACGACTATAGAGTGTCTGCTGATTCGCGAGAGGCTTCGTGATAATGCCACCGTCAGGTGGGTTTGCTCACAAGCGATGTTAGCCGACTGCTTGACGAAGACAATGGACAGCAGTGCCTTGAGAGAGTGTTTAAGAACTGGCAAATACATCCTTCGGGACGAAAACCACACGTTAAAAGAACGGCTAACTGCTCGGGAGCGACTGAAATGGATCAAGCAGCATGGATCGACAACAACTCGATCATCCGAAGAAGCCATGTTGACTGAACAGATCGGCAAATCTATGCATGAGGAGGATTTTTGGAAAATGGGTCCAAAGGGAGAACTCATTCGGGTGCACGTGAAACCAAGATATCAGTTGTTTTCACCTGTCGGGGTTGTTGACTGTCCTGTTGACTTGAGAAAACTCGAAGTTTTTAGGGACACCTACCAACAGGGGTGTGCAGGAGAACGCAGCTACTGGGTGGGAACATGTGCACATCGAAAGACTTCCTTCCCATGGACCGGCGAGACAGTCTTTTACAAAATAAAAGAGTAAAGGGTGTGTGAAGCTCACAAGCTTACCAATCAGATGTCTCGCATGACGACCTTTTGATCGAACCTACCGAAAGGGTGGGTGGGTGGACCGAACATCGTCGACAAAGAGCGAGGCCGCTTGGACAAGAGGACAGGGTTTCCCCAAGGTTAGGATCATTCAACTCCAGGGTGAGATTAACAATATATATATATATATGTAGGTACATGTATGTAGACCATTCCCTTCGACAATCTGACACATGTTTCTCACGAACGATCCTTGGAAACACATGCGCTGCCATTGCCATCTCTCCATCCTCCATCCACCGAGGTCCCTCACCTCCACCCGCCCGACAGGCGGAGAAGCCATGTTTCAAGGTGGAAACCACCGTAGTGGACGCCAAATTCCAAACGGTGAAGACCTCGCAGGTTGCAGTGGTTGCAGGGCTTTCCATCTTGAGACTAACGTAAGTACCTACAGAACTTAAGATTCCCTATAATCTTTGCGCCCTTCCCTTGCGCGACCAAAAACCCAACCAAAACGGTACCTATTTCGGGCCTCTCTCTTTCTCTGTATCGTTCTCTTTCTCTTTCTTCTCCTCCCTCCCTCCCTCCCTCCCTCTCTCTCTCTCTCTCTCTCTCCTCGCTACGTTGGAATGGCTCACAAAAGGTATGCTACGTTTGCATGGCTCCGTCCTCCTCTAAATTAACTTGAGGGAGATCACACAAGGTCATTATGCTACATTGAAAAGCCAGAAACTGCACCGTCACAGTCTATCTTTGCTCCTTCCATCCATCCTTCAGTGGTGTCTCCAACCGTCCCTTCGCCCAGCGGCCAGCAAATGCTCCGAGACCTCCATCAGGGACGAGCTCCGGTTCTCCGTGGCCTCCAAAGCTCTTGGATACAGACCAACAGACCACCATGGTCACCATGGTCACCACTGGTTTTGTGCGACCTAAGAAAACCTTACATGGAAAGAATGTTTAAATATGTTTAAATATGTTATTAGAAAATAGCAATAACAACAATAACAATGACAATAACAACAATAACATGTTGGCTTTGCGTGACCTAAGAAGACCCTTACAAGTACCTCGTCAAGATTCAAGATAACGCGCTTCACCTTTTGGCATCGGTGGGACAAATCCCGACCTCGTGCGGTTCACCAAAACCTGTGAAACCCACCCCACATCACAGGAATCCAATGGAATGCATTCCATCTGAGCTTGTCGCTGGATGATGGGTGTAATAGAAACATAGAGAAACACGTGGTTAGCATAGCAAGTCGTCCAACTATGGCTTAGCTGTCAAAAGCCCTTTGAATCCGCGATCAGTCCCATGATCAAATTAGGATTAGAAATACCAACCTGTGACGCTGGGGGAGTTGTGGACTGTGGGGTCATAATTTTCAGCAAGAAACATGACAAACCACGCTATCAGCCACGGCAAGAACATTGTGCTGTGGTGTTTGTGCATGTCAACTTGCCACATTGGCTTCGGCTTCAGTGGCCACTGCCCATCGCACTGCCACGGCAGACGCTGTTGCCACTTTTCGCCACGGCAGACGCTGCCTCCAGTCCTGCCTTACGAGCCCCTGTGCAAGCATGGAAAATCCATGTGTGCGGAAGACGAGTTCTTTCAGCGATCAGGCCATTTCCTGTCTGTGTTTTCGACTTTTAACTACAAAAAATGACATTGCGCTATGATTGAACAAACCTTTATCTTCAATGTAATATTCATCATTAATCTAATAAGCACCTGGTGGAGCTAATCAATCCCCCGATCAGACTGTTGCGCTGCAGTTCAGAGATTATGTGCGAAACCTTCTGGAATCACCCAATTTGAAAAGAAAACAGCCCATTTGGTTGGGTAGTCCAAGCTATATCATGTCGCAGCATCAAATTGCCAATCCCCTTCAAGTTTGGCGTTTGGAACATCTATACAATCTCGTTCCACACAAAAAACTGCTACTTCCGCAATTGCATGCAATTGCACTGTTTGATCAGTTTTCGGGGGAAATGGTTGTGGCAAAAGAATGGAAACCTTCTTAGTCGTGTTTGAACCTATCGAGTTCGTGGAGATTTTGTGGAAGAATGTCCATTTCATCTGTAGATCCTGTCCTCGTCATCCAGCCAAATCGATGGCTAAGTCACTTCATTCAGTCATGAGCACCACATTATCCGGGTGACTTTGTGCTCGTGCAGTCCTTAGCAGGCACGGAAGGTGCAAAAGGCTTTCAAAGATTCAAGGGCAGGTCTCAATAGCTAGAGCCAGGGATCGTAAAGAAATGTAAAGTGTCCTGCCGGTGCACTACTTTAAGCAAACCACGCAAACCCAAGGAGCTGTCCGATTTACCAAGTTGGCTGTGACCAGGAGTTGCTGCGTCTTGAGACATCCAGTTAATTGCAACATCAAGTGAAATACAGATATATAAAACAATATTGTTGACACTCTGTTTGAGTAGATGTTGCTGTCTTCCCTGGAGCTCTTCCCTCCAGCTCTTAACAGCCTAAGAGAAGAGTGTTTTCTTGGTTCCGGAAACTCAATGTTTCTCTCAAGAAGAGGTCCTATGGGTGGTGGAGGAAAAACGTCATGGAGTGCTGTTTATTGCTGGTGGGCTTGAATTGAAGCGCTCCCAAAACTCCGACCCCATCCCTCCCTCAAGGTCTTTCACGCGCAAGCACGGTACAAGGGCACAAATGAGCCGTGATGTTTGCTCAAGCCCACAAGCAAACGCAGGCTGCAATTTGCCTGACTCATCTGTGCACACCAGCTGCACTTTCTTTAACTGAATTGCCCTCACTTGAAGCTTTTGCTTCCACGGGCGGATCTGAATTTGGTGCATCATCTTCAGTAAAGATACAACATACCTCAGTTAGCATTGCAAACCTTCACTCAAAGTGACCCACTCAGATCTTTCAACGGAGACCTTCATATCCTTAAGTTGGTTCCCTAGGATGTTTTGCATCTCTTGAATGTTTCAATCAATTCCCAAATTCCCCTATAAAGTTCATATAAAATTAACTATACCTGCCTATACCTCATCTTGCTCATCTGCCTCCCAGTTCATGTGGTCCTCCGTGCTCCACCCCCCCACCCGTCATCCCCCGCCTCGGCTTCTCGGCTTTAGGCGCCAGCCTCTGCCGCCTCCATCTGCGCCTCCACGGCCTTTTGCGCTGAGCTGTGGTCACGGAGCTTCTCGAAGCTGGCCTCGGCGGTGAGTGCAGCAAGTCGATGCATACTTCCTATTAGTGCTTAGTAGTGAAAGTCCACGGTGATTGCATCAAAAAGAAGAGATGGACGCATAACTACGTGCCCTTGCTGAAACCTTTGTTCAGCCTCTACACATATCACCTGCACAAACTATACAGAGGGAGGTACGCTCGTGGTGCCGAATCAAACCTCCAATAATATTGTGGGGCACATGGATGGCATGGGCCAACGAAGACCCATCCATGTTGCCGTGAAAACGTACCTGCACAATTTTTTAACATATTCTAAAGAGCTAACGCGTTTGTTCAAACATTCAGTTGCACTGACCTTTCACTCCTGCGGTTTTGCAAGTCAAGTGCTAAGTATTCACTTAAAGGGCTAATGCTCACCGCGAATTGCCCGAAGACAAGCTCCTCGGAGCAACCTTCTCAAGCGTGTCAAACCTCTGTCGGGGTCCGGCTGCTGTGTCCTGCAAGTCTTTGAGACTGAACTTCGAAGAAGAACCGGAACCTCTCAACCAGGGGTTGTATAAACTGGTCTCCAGCCTGGACACCCCAATGTTTTGGAACCGGCATAGAGTCTACCGGCACCCACCAACAAGCCGGATCCAGGGTCTCCTAACACTCTCCTAATGGCACTCGTCTTCCAAGGCACCCAGTTGTGGTTCTTGAAGCTCTCCACTTCCGTCTCCGCTTCCAGGCGTGCCTGAACTGCTTGTCGCAGCAAGGGCTCTTGCTGCGCCACCTAGCACGACGGTGACGACGCTCCGATCCATCCGAGGGGTCGGTCCACATGTTTTCCCATGCGGCCATCTTGGAGGTGCTTGATTTCAACCATAATGCAATAGAGAGGGTCATGGCTTGGGGGCCGGTTTTTGAAGAAGCGCACTCCAAACCACAAACAAGGCACAGGAACCGTGTTCCGCTGGGTGTCTCCAGATAGTGGAACCCCCGGACAAATTAAATGGATGTTCATTAACTTTGGAAATTGCATACGGTCGGTCGTCGGCTCAGCTCGGCCTCTGCCTGGGCCTTGCTCCTGGCCAGCTCTGCCGTGGCCCGGAGCTCCTGAAGCGGACGATGGATGCACAGCAGGGAGGGTCCATCACGGAGAAAGACTCCAACTAGTTTAAAAAGCTTATGGTGGGCTTGGTGGGAGGCAAAAGGTCTCCCTGGCCTTTAAAAGTATGGTGAGTTGTGCTCAACTTGGAGCGATCCACCATCTGGGTGGTAGCAGTGGTGCGGAAGACACGTTTTCCAATCTCAAAGCCCTAGTCCTGGGCTGCTTCATACTTCTCAGCCTCCACTTGCTGCTGCTCGCGTGCCGCTTGCAGCTCCTGCGCTCACGAAGCCAATTGACAGGCTGCGTCTCAAAACATCAACATCTGCCGTCAGAATATCACTTAAACTTGAGATTGAGTTCAAAAAGAGAAACTCATCAACTAAAATAACTAGACTCCACCACCCATTGCTGACAAACAAACTCCACCCCAACCACCCAACCCGCAGAAAAAACCGCCCCGGCTGTCTCCACCTTCTTGGCTGTCTCCACTGCCTGCTCCGCAGCAGTGGCCTCTGGCTCCGATGCCTGCAGGTGCTCCTGCAAGGTGCTCAGGCGCTTGGTGAGGCCCTCGCCCAGCTGCGCCACCACCTCACCACGGACGGTGGACGACCCGGCCGACGGCCGGGCCGACGGTGGGTGAAGATGAAGGTGACTTGACGCATTTCTGGCAAAAGGTCCTTAGGAGGGAGTAAGGACCTCAGAAAGCAAACTGTGTAGGAGTTCAACCTAACCCAACGATGGCGTTTTTCATGAGAGAGCAAGTCGATTTGAAAAGACCATCCAGGGCAAAGAATCATACACGTTCCACCTGATGTGGCAGAAGGGAACTCTTCACCCAACTCCTTGCTGAAGGTTCTCGTCGAACCCGGATCGCCGTTTCTTTCGCCCAATCCAAGCTACCATGGCATCAAAGGAGCCGCGACTGGCTGGTTCCTTCCTAGGCGACACGTCACATGCGCATGCATGTTCTTGAGCACCACAAGAAAAAGTCCCTCTCCCATGTCTCACTGCACCCTTCCTGCCTGAGCATATTCAAATGGTGTCTTTGCAACTAGAATACAGTAATACAGTTTACCCCTCGCATGGACACGTCGGAACAGCATGAAACCACACATCCCCCTCCGGTTCGAGCGTCAGGATGGAGGTGGGCAGCGCTGTGAGGAGCGAAGCTTCGAACCCAATCTGCTTGGCCAAGGTCTCCAACTTCACATAGTGGGCCTGGAAAGCGATGGGGACTGCCGAGGTCCTTGGAGGACTTCTTGGATCTTCTTGGGGATGCTTCCCTTTTTTTAAAGATCTGTGAGTTTCATCAAGGCACTTACTTCTTTATGTATGTATATATATATATTTACATATCCACTTGGGACCACAAAATCCTTTGTAGGCCATGACCAATTGTGACCTTGGATGAAGTGGGATAGGACCACTACAACCATCACTCGTCATGAGATAGGCCCGCTTACATACTTTGCGTGAGTTGAAATCCAACCTTATTTTAGCAGAAGGGACCATCACTGTATGATTGTTGGACAAGAGGTCTTGAACACCAACATGCGTACCTGCTGATTTTACTTGCATTTTGGCATGAACCCATCAATGGTGACTTGGGTGTTTCGTGTTCTAGGGGTGCTTCCCATACTTGCCGATCTGCAACCGGGCAACTCGTCCAGAAAACAGCTGATCTCAGAAATGGGAAAATGGCGCAGGACGCGCCAAAGCCGTGGAAATTTCCCGCTGCATGATGTTACATGATGTCACATGTTGAGGTGGTGATGTTCAATTCCCGCCGCCATGCACAAAATCAATGACCACACGGGTTCCAACTAGTCGTTAATGTGGGGATTCATCGTGTTCTCATGTGTTCTCCATGTCCTGCCCGAGTTCCTCCCAAGTGTCACTACATATTTGCTCATGATCTGGTCCACGCGACTGATGACCTTGGGTCTGAGGTCGGTTGCTATGCTTGGAACGACGGACAGTGTCCATACCTGATTGGCCTGTTCACACTCCACATAGGGTTTTGCAGGGCAAGGCTTCACACTTCCTCGTCACAAGTTATATATCCTTCTCGGCTGAAAACATGACTTGTTCCCCAATGCATGTGTTTTTCCTGGAATCCTCGATGCAATCGGTGATGGTTAGTGATGATTCATCTTCCATGTTCTGTGCTGTGCTGTATAATTTCAAACCGGCCTTTCTCAGTTCGCATTCAGCTTTGGCTTTGGATGTTGCACGGGCTCGTCTCTGGTGAAAAACATGAGCGATGCAATCCTTGGCGAAATGCATGCCATCCCATACCTTTTGAGCAAGCTCAAGGTCTGCAGCGGACAAACCTATCAAACAGCCCTTGCGGTGTACCAGACTGTCTGGCGCCCAGGGGCCAAAGGCAAGGCGACAAAGGCCAGACACCAGGCAAGTTAGCAAGGGAATCAACCTCAAAACGGTACAGAAGGACCAGCATGTGGTGCCATCCCACGTCATCGCACAACTGCCGGATCTTAGTGAACTCAGCAGGCCCGTTTCAGGACTTGACAAGGCCTAGTGCCAACATGTGCCAACCGCCTCCAGGTGGTCAACAAATGACTGACAATTGCAGGACACTTGGAGCATAAGATAGCACAAGGAGACTGAAAAGCGTGCCATGGATCTTTTTGCGCGGTCATGGCTGCACACGGGAGTGGGCAGCCCTTCAGAAACCTGCACAAACTCTTCGAAGCAAGACCCGACTGAGGCACCACGAAGTCTCTTTGAAGACCTCTTAAGAACCTGGAACACAGCATTGCAAGAACGAACACTCAATCCCCAAGACTTCGAGTACGGGCCAGTATGGGGTTTAGGGTTTAGGGTTTAATGATGTCCGCTCCCCTCAGCAATTGAGGCCTCGAGATCGGATTGGACCCACTACCACACGTCTGCAGGAATACAGGCACACGAACAAGCGCTTGCAAGGAAGAGAGATTTGAGAGAAGCTGACTGGTTCTAACGCTCGCCGCTGGCCCAACAGCTCGCCTATACGGCATCCTCATCAACGGACGAACATCGGAGAACATTGGACGAACTTCTCCAATGCACTGGACAGGCCCACCAGTACTTGGTTGGCTGCTAGGGCAACACACTGCTGGACAAGCTGATCATCTTCAATGTGTGAGCCAAGCCTGGAATTTGGACGGAGCCCGGCCTGAGCTTCCTCCCCCTGCACTTCACCAGCGCACAGGAGGCGAAACCTGAGCCAGGCCACATGGAACTGGCGTGGAAGGTATTTGAAGGAGAAATGTATCTTTTAGGAGACTGGTGACTCATGGAACTTCAGAAAAGAATACACTGTCATCTAATCTACAGTACATGTTCTTTCAGCCACCTCCCTTGGTGCACGAGATCTTTAATCTGCCACCTGAGATGTCAACAAAACCCAGTGCCCATGCTCAAACGATCCAACAAGACTTGCGGAACAAAACCAAAAATGCCACCGAACCCTTCGCTCATGGAGCGGGTCCTCTAGACAGAAGAGTGAGAAGTGAACAGAGTAAAACAATGACACGGGTTGTAAGCACATGTGAAACCGAACGAACGAAATTGACATACGGCGAATTGCTTCGAATTTATTGGCAAGTTGTTTGGCGCTGATAGCTCAAATGGAAAGGAGGGGCAAACTGTTTCTGCGTTTTACTTTGATTATCTCAAATTGTGCAATCTCCAATTCCGTATCTAGAGTGATCCAAGATAGAAAATGTGTTTCCCCCCAAATCTACTGTATTGGACACCCTTTCATGTCCTAATACCGCTCATGTATTGTGCGAATTCGTCTGTTGGAACACCAAGGTCCGGACCAATCGCATTGGATTGTGCGTCTATTCACCACATCACCCGACCACGTCTGCACCGGTTCTTTCCAAGTAGTTTCTGTTTGTTTCATCGGGCGATGCGTCGCAAATGAAATAACAAGTTTGGACACCTGTGTATGCATCGCCCGTTGCGGATGGGTTGTGTTGGTTGTGTTGCTATGAGAGAAACAATTCTTGGAAACTCAATGCAACAGCAATCGCTCCACCATGTTCCACTTTCCCGTTGCCAAGATGCTCTTCGGCCAAAACAGCCCTCAGACGTGAACTGGTTGCTGGGATCCAAGGGAAACACATGCTGTCACATGAGGGTTGGTCAAAACAAATTTTGGTGCAGTGCAAGACAGGATGCCCCGACGTGTTTCTACGCTATCAGGGTTGCTTCGGTTTTTCCCATGTCTGTCAACAATCTGCCCGTGCTAAACCCGGCCTTTCCCTGGGAATGGCCACTACGTGCCACTACAAACTATTCCTACTGTTTGGAACGCAGGAACTCCTCAACCTCAACAACAGGATCAGTGCATATCAGTGCCAATTTGGCCAAACAAACCTAGACCTACAAGCTAAGTGGCCGTGCGGAAAGCAAACCATAAAAGTTCGTGAAATTTCACGGATTGACTGTGACAACTCGCCTTGTCCAACTGTCTCTGGATTAAATTTAGAAAGCGAGTGTTGGTAGGGATGTAGGATCTGCCTTTAAATTGCTTAAAGCATCGTGGTTTACAGTGCTTCATGCATGCAATAGGCTCAAAAAAACATGGTAAAATGCACATTTTTGCTAGACATCAGTTCGAATCAAAAGGAATTGGAAAGGAAATAATGAGAAATCAAAAGGAATTTGCAAGGGAATCAAAAGGAAGTTCCCAGGAAAACAATAATTTGGAACTTAAACTGGAAATTCAAGCATCTCTATATATTATTTTTTTTAATCATGAAAAAGAAAGTAGACACTATTGCAGGGGATGTTGGTAAGCACAAAGCCATGCCAGAGCAAAAGCGCAAACAATATTTGAGGTGGCAAAGCACTGACATCAATCCATGGAGTGCTTCGATAAGCCAAAAAGGGCAAACAACATTATAGGGTGTGATATATTTCAAGATTTAGGTGTACTGGGCCGTATATAATTGTCTAAAACGATTTAATAAGGTGCTTAAAATAAATCAACTACAGAATTCAAAAGGGAGCCAAATCAAAAAGAATCAAGAAAATCTTAACCGGAAATCAAAAGGTGGGATTCAAAAGGAATTTACAAGGAATTAAAAGGAATCTACCAGGAAGCCATTAGAGATCAAAAGGGTTTAAAAGCGAATCAACAAGAATTCCGAAGGATTTCAATAGGAAATCAGTTAAAATCAAAAATAACCTAGACAGTATAATATGAAGTCAATTAAAGTCAAATTTTCTTTGATAAGAACGATGTCATTCCTTGAGTCTCTCTGCCATAGTCAATTTCCTTGGTGCAACTGTACCAGGCAGGACAAACTTGGGTGCTTGCTGCTCCTCTAAAACCTCTGGAGAATCTAAAAACGAACGATGGCAATGGAGGCTTGACTTCGGATCCTGCAAGCTTAAAAGAGCATTTTCATGCATTTTCCTAAATCCAAAGCCACCCACTCTCTCCATCCCACCCCACTCTCTTCACAGCGAGAACTACCTTTCGAGGTGCTCGACTTGTGCCTTCTCCTGCAAGGCGTTCTCACGCGCTGAAGCCTTCTCCCGCTGGGCTGTCTCGGCGCTGGACAGCTCCTCCTTGCAAGAGATCACCTGAGTGTCTGCCGCATATTATATTCAGAAAAACTCAACCAGGATGAATACTTAAGCGAAGCAAAAAAACAAACTGAAAAAAAACAAAAACAACTAGATGAAACTAGAATACTGCCGCACCAGCCAGTTTAGATGTCAGTATATAATGGTATATATAATTTGATTCGATTGAACTTTCAAACCGCAAAGGGAATTTGCACTCAACAACAAACGGTCAAAAGTCAGGCTGGGGCGTAGTGGCAGCCAGCCACCACAACAAGGTGACCAACTCAAACAGGAGCTCGAAGAAGCTCCAATACTGGACTAAGCCAAGCCTACTATACTAAGGGCAAAAAGGGAAAAACATGACAACAACTTGCCACTCAACTAGCCAAACCACAGCAAGTTACCTTAAACAGGCTCACACTGAAACACTGCAGGATCCACACTTTCTCTCGCCCAACCACACGAAGCCCACCTCTTCCGTCTTCATCCTCTGTCTCCCAAACCCCAAAACGGGCGCGCGGAGAACCCTCCGTCCGCTTCGATCGAACGAACTCGGTGCAGCGAACGAACCGAACACCGTCCGAACGACGGCGGAGGACGAGGCGCCGTGCGGGTGACGTCGGCCAAGCGCACCTTGCAGCTCCGCTCGCGCTCCGCCGCCCCGGCCGTGGCCTCCTCGGCGGCCGACACCTGGGTGGAGCGGAAAACGGAGAGGAGCCTCTAGTAGCCTAGTAGCTTCTTGTTCCTAGTAAGGCCAGGAGCCCCTAGTAGCGTCCTTGCTCCAGGTAGAGATCTTTTTCAGTCCATCGAATCCTTTTTCGTCAAGAAGAGACGATGTGTGCTGAGTGTTCACTTCTTTTCACCCAGTTTGGATGTGCACAAATCCCAGTTTGGTCGTCGATTACGTAAGAGAATGCCTTGTGATGACACGGAGTATTTGCTGGCTCCCAGAAACATGATCAACGAGATGGGTTTCACTGCTCGTTCGCTGTAGCTTTGGTAGCTCAAGTTCGCAGTCTGCTTCTGCTTGCTCAAATGGCACCTGGACATCCAAATGCCTTCGTTCCGTCCTTTCAGAACCCCTTTCGTTCAGTGGTGAAATCCATTCGTTTTGGGTCCCAAACATGAATAGATTGCACCCTGCCGCCACGCCTTGTGCTGCAACTCTTCCTTGGAACCTTCAATGCGACTGACTTCCGCAGATGCTGCAGCCAGCTTCTCCTCGCACCGGACATGAAGCCACGCGGCTAAGGGCAGTCTGACGGATGCAGCTTGAAGGATGACAGGGGATATGAGATAAGTAGTTGTATGAATCCGCCGGCCCTTGGGCGCGGCGTGTTTTAGGTGATTGGTTTGTATGCTATCCTAGTAGTAGTTTTGTTTTTAGTCTAATTGTACCCACGGCGCGGATTTTTGACAAGTCTAACTTCCCCCCCCCCCCCCCCCCCCCCCCCCCCTTCTCCTCTCTACTATGCCAAGACAGCACACACATCATCCTCTACGGCACTCCCAAAAGGGCCGGCGGAACAATCCGCAGGGGTGAATATGGCATTATATATATATATATACATGATTCACTATTTTCAGCCCTTGCAGAAGTTGATAACGCGGTCGAAAGTGCATCTCATAAAGATCGACATTGGATTCCGAAAAGGTTCTGGACTGAGTTTGGGTGCCACTGGGAAGTGTTGATGCTGGCTCTACCTTTCGAGGGGGTGACCACACAAATGGAGGAGCACTCCTCTCCCTCTCAAGCCAATCTTTAAACCCATTCTCTCCAGCCTCCAACTTGCAAATGACCTTCTGCAAGGTCTCTGAGACCATCTTCACATGAGTCGTCCTGAGAGATTGTGCCATGAGTCGTCCAAACCCACGGCGGCAAAGGGATCCACATACCTTCCACCCAGGGGATGTTTGAGGTGAGCTTGGAAGGTGAGGTTGGAAGGGTCCCTACCTTCTGTGGATCTAGTATCCCTTACAGGCTGCACCTGACTGAAGCGTCATCGCCTTCTTCCGCAAAGCCTCTCCTTTGAGAATCGCTGAAGCACTCTTTATACTCTTTCATGGCTGGAGGTGTCTAAGGATCTTCAGCCAAGGGACCGCGGTTTCTCTGGTGGTTGGTGGTGGTCTCCGTGCCTGCAAGGCCTCTTGGCTTACCGACATCATACCCTGCTCAAGCACAACAACTGTTCACCGTGCTATCAATACATATCAATATACTGTATATTAACTTTAACACCAAATAAAACTAAGCATATGCAAGATTCTTGCATAAGGATTCTTTGTGATTTTAGCCCCTCCCCCGCAGCTGTCGGACTCTGCAGACCGCCAGCTGAAGCCCACAGTTGTTGGCGTATTGACTCCTATGTTGCTCCCAGTCGCTTTGTTTCAGTTCGCGAGGGTGACTGTATTTGAATGTATTTGACTCTTGTCCTCTGTGTAAAGTACTTTAGAATCTTTAGTGCACTTTGGGAGTCGAGCTCGTTCCCCATCCATGTGCACTTCGGACTGCCCATCGCGCCATGGTGCTGGTAGGCGTGACGTTGGTCAGCGGGCACACAAAGGCCCTCTGGGAGCATTGCGATCAGCATCTGCCGCACAGAGAGGGGGTCCTGCGACTTGAAGATGGAAACGCTGTTGGGAGGAAAACTGTTGTGGTACCCAGTGACTGTGGTATGAAGTGGCGGGTTGAGACCAAGTGACTGCTTGGTCATTGGTGATGAATGGTGATGATATCTTTTGAATCCCAATCTTGTATGACAAGGATGTTTGTGCTCCACAGTGCACAGAATACGAAGACTACTGAAGGTGAGGTGAAGTTTCAGAAACAAGGTCAGCCAGAGTTAAGTAAACAAAAGAACTGGTTTAAAGCCTTGATGGCAACTTGCAGCAACTTGCCATAGAGATGCTTATTGCCCGTTTTTGCTCGTGTGGAATGGAATCTATCCTGCTCTAAAATCATCAGGAAGACTGACCTCGACGGCAATTATCTGGACTCAGACTGGACTACGGAATGGAGCAAAATGTTACACCAAACTCAGACGTTTCGAGGGCAAATCCCGCCAACGGAAGACTCTTTGTTTGGGTCATGGAGTCATGGGAGTCTGAACCATATCCACTAGCATGACCCAAATGGGGTTGACATCCTTGGCCGACGTTAAATCCCCAATTCATCCCAACGTCATTGGCTTTGATCCTGGCATGGCAGACCGTCCTCTGCGACAGGAGATTCAAGCCCCTCCACCACACCATCGTACCAGGCTTTGCTCACGCCATAGTTCCTCAAGGTCTCCTGAAAAGGATGACTGGATCCACACAGCGGAACACCAGTCACTATATAGAGATCAACAGTTGCGTTTGGGAAAGAAAGGAGCACTGAACGTTCAGATTGAGGTTCATCGAACCTCTCCCACTGTCCCACTATGACTTTGTGAGCTTTGTAGGAATCCCAACTATATAGGTAACTAGATCCAAATGAGCAATGTGTAAAACCATGTAAAACCATATTCATCCATCCATCTTCTAGGTTCACCGAAGTCTTTGTACAAGAAGGGTCAGTGTCAGTGTCCGAACATCAAAGGTTTCCCATTCGCTGATCTTTCTTTCGGCTCTGAGTGTGTTTGGTGCCCCTCCCCCAAAAGAACACGACGGCAGCCAAATCCAACGGTCCGAAAACTCCCAACAAGCTCTGATGCGCCGTGGAGCTGCATGATCACAACCTCCGGAGCAAACGTCTCAAAAAGTCCGCTCCTTCATCTTCTTCGCCTCATCCGTCATGGCCTCCGTTCCGCTGGCTGCGCGCTTGGTGCCCCTCTTTGGTGCCATGTCGAGGTCCAGCGCGGAATGCGGTCGCTGAAATCAGTGGCGGCTTTGAGCGGAAATGGCTCCGGGAGTGCAGCAAAGAAGCTTGGTCAAAGCAAGAGACTGAAAAGAACCGGCGTAATGACATGACTCCAATGGCGACAAAGATCATCTAGCAACAATAATCCAAAAACGATGTTATGCTGTGGAAGTGCCACAAGACCTGGACTTTGGTGTATATATCATATACATGTGTATATGCATATATATATATACTGTATATGTATCTATGTGAATCATACATGTGCTAATTATAGTGAACTCCGAGCCGGATCTGAAAACATGGGCCTTTGGCGGTATGCTTTCCAGCTCGGATGCGAAAAGAAGGGGTCATGAGATGGCCGCCAATGGCCACATTCACCTATATATATATATACGGAAAAAAAAAAAAAAAAAAACTATGGCCTCCAACCTAGAAGCGATGGCCTCCAACCTATATTTATATAAATTGCTTTGGTTCGGCATGAGGCATCTGGATTGTGAAATGTGCATGAACCATTAGCATCGTTTGAGCAGCATTAGGAGGAATCCGTTGGCACGAAACTTCTAAGTCTGAGACATGTTCCTTGTTGAAACCCAGAGCCAAAAGGCCTTTGAATGTGCTCTTATGGTAAGTCTGTCAGAGTCAGGTTCGTGACCGTTTTTGAAGCGTTTGCTGTTGATCTCGCATTCATTCTTTCTGAGGGACTTTGATCCTGCCGCTTCCTGTACTCAATCGACCCTGTACAGCGGGTTCATAACTTTAAAAATAAAACTATATATGTATGTATATATATATATGTATGTATGTCAATATATATATATATCGCCCATATATATATATATATATGTGTGTGTGTGTGTTTGTTTCTTCATGTTGCTCGGGAAAACAACAAATACACTCCGACTCACTAACATGGAAGTGGAAAATCCCTTGTTCGTCAAGGAAAGTAGTCTTCCAAAGGAACATGTTCCACTTCCATGTTAGCGAGTCAGAGTGTACTGTTGCTATGCCATGTCAAGACTATTTCCTCTTAGGTTCATTTGAGGTGTGTGGACCTTTGCAAGCATGCAACTCCCCCTGGCAAGCCAGGCTTCAACCAGCTGCTCGCTGCTCGAGGCTACGGTTTCGGCGCAGGAAAAATCGATGGGTTCCCCAAAAGGACCTTGGGCAAATAGGATTACACAGTTCCAATCTTAAGTAATAGGATAGGATGACAATAGATACAGTAATAGATACATAACATTTCGAATATATAGTTTGCTTGTTTCAGTGGCCACAGCGGAGTGGAAAAAAAGAGTGGGCGTCCAGTCGTCTTGTCGTCCGTGGAAGTCCATCGGTCCTTCTTGGCTTGAGCCAGAACAGCATCAGTTGGAAGAATTCGACTCATGGACACCGTAAACCACAGGGTTGTCAAGTACCAAGAGAGGTTAAGTGGCCTTATAGGACCTTACTACCTTACTGGTGTACCTGTGAGATAGTCTATTACGGTCCTTCAACCTCTGTTGGTAGTCTTCCAGGAGTCATGTTAGTTGAAGGTACCGACACGGCGTTGCCCAAGCTCTAGAAGTTGTTGCAACTTCGAGACGGATCTGGCACGGTCGCAGGGCTCGAATGTCCTGATTTTCCAAGTTCAAAATGTCTGAAATGTTGGGTGACTTCGTGGACTGAAACTGTTGCGATTTCAGGAGAAACCTGCAAGCACGCCAATCTGGGTACTGCGAGGCACCTGTCAGCTCAGTATCTCATGTCTCATCCACTCACCCAGTGGGCCAAACACTGCCAGCACCGCGCCGGTTGGGCGACTGGTTGGTAGCCTATACTCCGAAATCGGATGTCTGGCCTTGAAGAGTTTTCATGGTTGAGACTGGGCAAAACACTGAAAATCTCATGATTTTGTTCTGCGCCCTAATATCTCTGCACCGTGTGCCTTCGCCTTCGTCTTCCTGCCCCCCAACAAAAAAAGGGCACAACGTCGCCGTCCAGGCCTGCGCCACGAAGTCCTCAAATCATCAGAAACAGCGGAAGGAGTTCCTTTGGAAAGCATACTCTTCATGGACCAACATTTCCCCACTGACTTTTGACCTAGGACTGCTTCAGCTTCTTCATGCTGATAGGGTGTCTCTGGGTGGTGCATGGTGCCGCAAGGAACGCCAACCTACCACACCTCAACGGGGTGGGAGAGGTACTTGGTTGTGACTCTTGACCCATCCGTCTGATTCCATGCTGATAACTCATAGCACCTCAAGTTGGAACCCCAAAAAAATATCTTCCTCTGGGTGCCTCTCGGCTGGAGCAAAATCAGCAAAGTGGACAGTCACCCGAAAGTAAACAGATTGTCTAGAGTCTAAACGAACACTTCACCTATCAGGATCTTTTGGGCGGGCATTGAACGAATTCCTCCCCAAATCCTCCCCACATTCCTCTGCCAAGTGCTTCGCAGTTGTGTGGCAATCAGATGATCAGTCTGTTCCTGTTTCGGTATTTGCAGAAAGAAAGAGGGGTAATCTTGGAATGTTGTAGAAGGTTGGGCACCTGTAAGCCAGCACTCTTGGGGGGCCTGACTCACCCCTGTACGGAGGCTTCTCTTCTTTCGCATCAAAGGGATCCCCATCTGGTCCACCGTATGGCCACTAGGGGCAAGAAGCTACTAGGGGCTCCTGGCCGTACTACTAGGAACAAGAAGCTTCTAGGAACCGTATGCCGCCTGCTCCGCTCCTCAAAGACCTCCTGCACCGCACTGAGCGACGCCGCCGCGTGCGCCACCGCGGTCCATGCCGCGGCGAGCGCGACGGGGCGAAGAACGCGCGACATGAGGGGCGATGATCCGCGGCCCGTGTGCTTCCGCAGCTTGTGGAAGTGCCAGGTCACTTAGGCAATCATCGAAAGACGGCTAAGAGCAGATGTTTGGCACTGTGCACAAAACGAAGCTGGTCCTGAATCATTTCCTTACACAAGTTCTTTACCTATGGTTTTCAAGTGCTGCTGGGGTGTAAATTGTAAATCTATCATCCTCCTGTATTCATCTTGACTCAAAAGCAAGCTTTGAAGGCAAAGCTCTTCCAGTCCTCTGTCTTTGGAAGATGGACTTTGAACCTGGTACAATCCCTGACACCACAGAGCCTGAAGAGCTGCCTGAGGCAAAAAAAGCATGCTCACTAAGACTGACAGGGATTCCGGATCACTGGAGAAGTGTATGGCTGAATGTACAAGGGGTGTGCCCTTTGTTTTGATGCAACAGGTGGAATCTCGTTTTTGGAGGCAGGCCTTCCAAGCTGAAGACAACCCGAAAGAGCATGTTGCTTACGGTGGCACGGACTGCAGGAAAACAAGCCTACAAGGAGATCCGTGACTGCTTTGATATGGAGAACATGCCGCACTGGGCTTTGGATGATCGGAGCAATGGCGTGCGAAACGACCAACTCCAACCATCGCTGTGTAGAATCGGAATATAGCATCCTTCTCCCTTTCCTGATGTTTTTCTTCCAAATAGCAATGGCCTCCAACCATCCTTACCGTCTATGCACCCAACCACAGACTTCGCTAAGCTAGCTCTTTGGACTTCCAGCCTTTCACCCGGGACAGCAGGGGTGTGTGGCTGGAGTGTGACGGGATCATTGCCCAATCCGCTAGAAGCAGAACCCGGAAGAATCTCAAGCCTGACTGCAGGGAGAAATGCGTTAAGATTCAGCACCTCGGAATTTTAGGATTATCCTGGATGTGTCCACCAGCGGCCAGTTCCATCTAGTTGATTCAAAGTGGTACATGAGGGTAGTGAAATTTTAATTCGGTAACACTGGCTGCTGAAGAAAACACGGTGGCAATCCACAGATCCACCGATCAGTTGGCCGTCACCTTGTGGTATGGTATGTCTGAACTCCTTTGCAAGTGACTTTGGTGAACAGCTTCCGAATGACCCTCTTCAAAAGAACCTGGCATCCATCAAGAGGAACCTTATGTTGTATGTATATCTCTTCCCCCACCATTTTCCGCGCGAGCGCCGCGCGCCACCAAAACGGCCTCTTTTGAGGCCCTCGTGGTCTTGAGATCCCAAGGAGCGATTTAGCACCATAGCATTGCTGTATCAACCAGCAGGTCAGACAGACCCGTTGCATACCGCTTACCCTCCCTTTTAACTAGGCAGAGTACAAACCAATTCCGCAAGACTTGGATTTCTGTTATGGTCTTCTGCAGTTGTATTTTCAGTAGTGATCCGCACCGTGGAATTGACGGAATTTCTGGTTAGCCAGCTTGGTGCCGCCATCAGCAAAAGAGTACTCGAAGACCGAATGTACCCTTGGAATGCCCGAGGCTGAAAGAACAAGTATAAAGAACCTGGACCATGAATACTTGTTCTTGGGCCACATCAACAAGGTTCCTACGGCCTCGCTACGAACGGAGCGATCGGGCGCTACGAACGGTTCACTCTTGGACGCGCGCGCAACTGCGAGGATCCAGCCGCACGCGCCCATGGAGCTAAGATGTTGAAATCCAAGCACTTCTCGCAGAACACAACCGGAACAGTGCAGGGCTTCACCAACAGGAACAGTCAATCGTCTTCCCGATATGACATGATACCCAAAAACACTTCATGTAAGATTCATGTATTGAATGCATGCCTCATTGACCCCCGAAACCACCACAATGTTGGTAAATATGCCATACAAACAGCCTCCAACAGCTTTCCTTGCGAGAGAAGACCTTCTGACAGACTGCAAGTTCCAACTAGATCGCCTCATGGGATCACATCGAACCCTGCGGCGGCTTACAACCAGCAATCTGACGGGGATGGTCGAGGTGACTCCAGGCCCCAAAGAAGGGAGATGAGCCAATGTCGCAGTACTCTATCTCAGAAGGACTCATTCATTTGCACACCGGTTGAAGTCCTTTCTCGACTTGCGAACTCGACACCTCGACCATCGCCACAAACGGGAAGAAAGCAAGCCTTCCTTCACTCATTTCCCGACGGAGTACCTCCAACGGACAACCGAGGTGGCCGGGCCGGCGCCGCACCCGGGGCACGGGCGGGTGGCCTGACATGAACCATAGCGAAGTGCGCTCCACCATACCTATCCACCTATCCTATCCATACCTATATCAGACTCACTCATCCACCACTAGCCCTCCTGAAGTCTGGGTCTATGTTCTCACAAAGGTTGCCTCTCGTTGATGTGTTTGGATGATTGCTCTTGATGAATTTATGGCGACCCTGTTGGAGTATGGAACTTTCCCACATGAGTCCATTCTGAGGCTCTTCATGGTTCAACAGAAAGGATGCTCCCAAATCCATTGCCTGCAGCCGACAAAAAAGAGACTACCTTAACTCAGTAGAATCAGAAGTGGATTAGAATCCATTCAACTCTCGCAAAGATGCATGTTCGTAAACATCGTAAACTGAGGGGGGACCATGTGTAGTCCTGGACCCGCTTCTCACGTTCCTTTTGTGGCGGAAAGGGCGTCGCCAAAGTCCCCTGCGCTCAATGTCTTGTTGAAAAAGTCGGCGCAGGGGAGGATGTGCACAGAAAGGGCCAGGCACATCGATTTGGGCATCTGCTGTCGTGGCTTGGCTGGTGCGAGCTAGATGCCTTCTCAAAACAGCCATGGGAAAGGATGACGAGTCAGGGCCGCTTGCGTCACCGCTCCTGCGAAGGCCAGCATGGCCAAGCGGCCGTTCTTCAGCTCGGCCAGGCGCATCTTCTTCTGACCCTCCTGCAGCGCACCACGGCCACGAGCAAAGGAAGAAAGAACAATGGCAACCATGCAAATAGCAATCAACCACGCAAATGGCATGAATGTATTCAAGGCGAATGCCATAAAGAGTCCGTTTACTTAACTTATCTTCGGGTTTCACATGAGATATGAAGAATCATTGACTTGAAGAAAGAAACCTAGCAACCATGCATGTTCTTCCTCTGCACAGGCTGGTACATTTATCCCCCAATACTCCAACTAGCAAAAGCACAGTTCATCACAATTCCGCCAACACCTTCAGGTTGGCCCATGTTTTACAGAAACTCTTCTCCCTGTTTCTTGGCAGTTCTTGGCCATGCACCTTTTCGGCTCCGCCTTTTCCCATTCTCGTCACTGGGGAACAAACTGGTAAGGCCATAGTCGCCGGCCACCTCAACGGAGTTCCACTCGAAGACCTTCTTGGCGCAGCAGAGCTCCAGGATGCTGACCCAGAAGAGGACCTCTCAGGTCGGCCTAATGAATCTGACCCAACGCATGTTGATTCCTTTTTTGCGGATTTGCTTTGGGATATTGTGGGATTATGTGGCTTTAAGGTGTTGGTTTTTGTGGATGTACTGCAAGGCAGGATCCTGCAGTTGTTCGCAATGTTTGGCACGGGAAAGTAGAGAATCAGAAACGCAGGCAAGCAATGAAACCGAAAAAAAATACACTTAGAAACTGATAACAAAGAGACAAAGAAGCAGGAAAAAAGGCAAACAATCAAGCAGAAAATATGTATATAACATGAATATGTAATAACACATAGAAACCAACCAAGAAGCAGAAAACACCAAACAGTATCATAAAGACAAAAAGCAAAACAAACGAAAACAACAAAGCAGAAAAAAGACATAGTTAAGCGGGAAACACACAAAAGAATTATATAAACTAAAAAGGCAAAGAAGTAGGAACACAGAAAAACAACAAATGAGGAATCCCCAAGAAATAGAAAAAATCTCCGAAAAAATTGCCCTCTACTGTGTTTCAATGCGGATCCTGGGAACCCTCTGTTCTACTCGTATTTGCTGTGGATGGTGTAATGGTGTATGCGACACGGGTGCCCTTCGCATGTCTTCTTGTGGAAAATAGAATCCTCATCAGTTTCCATCACTTGCATGACAAGCTCCCCAAACGCATCCTCCTACCTAAGTCCGGGCAATCCAATGGTTGTTCTTAGCTCCTGATGTGCTCCAGTCAGGAGCCTTGCCACTGTCCAAAGACTCCGCTCCATCTTCCTCAGCTTTCCTATCTATCCCTTCGGTGTCAACGTGTCGGTCGCAACGCAACAACAGTACGGGCGCCTGTGCGTTCACGCCGGTGGCGCCCAGAAAGGCGTCATGCGCATCGATGGACACGGGAACGGCTTCGAAGGAGAACTTCTCACCTTCACCAGAGGATGGGGCGGCCGCACAGGATGGGAACCTGTCGGGACCCAGTGGGAAATTTGCAAATGTGTTTTGTGTTTGAAAGGAATGGGGAAGGCCATGCGCCGGTGAAAGGGGGTTAAGTGCGAGCAGGTGAACGGGGAATCGAGTGACCTTCATCCGTTGGGAAAGGGTTTTTGAGAGCTGTCAGTTTTGCCCATCCAGGCATCTATTATCAACATCTTGTTAGGCACAGAATGAAACTGAAACACTGCATCGAAAAAGGAGTGGAACCCCAGGCCAGGAAAGCGGTCATCGAAAAGGTTCCCTAGCCGGTGACCTGTTTTGCGGCCTGTCCAATACTGAGCCTGCTAGTGGGACACTCGCTGTGGCCTGGCTTCAACCTCCTCTTTTGCGTTGCGAACATGCCGTCCGGCATGCCCTCCAACACGCTTGTGGAGGCTGCCAAGCGTTTGGGGAATATTCAGGGACTGGCTTCAACCTCTTCTGCACTTCAGAGTTGCTGTCTGGCCCATGTGTGGCCTGTCCGACAGGCAAGCGTTTCCATGGTGGCGGGTCGACGGCAGCCCGTCCGGCATTGGCGCAGTCCATTTTCAGCTTCTATCTTGGCCATAGCCGGGGCTGTCTTAAAAACCATCCACCCTTCTCCGTCGCCTGGGGCAAAAAAAACCTGGTGCATTGGGCTGTTAGCTGGCACGCGCAACAACTTCATCTCTTCAATTTTCACTTTATAGCGATGGCCTCCTACCTAATGGCGATTGCCTCCAACCCCCATCATCGTCGGAACGCCTTGTGGTTTCTTTCCTGGCTTTTTGACCCTCCATTCAGGCCTGCGAGACTGTGCCTTTATGCCCAACACATAGTTTTTCCTGGGAGGTGTGTTCCTTCATTGCTCTTTTGAGGGGCCTTGTGGCTTCGGCGAAGCATTGAAACCTGGTGGGATTGGAGACTTCAAAGGTGTTTTGACGCATAGTAAGGCATCTGATGATGAGACATTCCTACAATATCATGCAATATTTACAATGATTTTGCTGTCTTGCTTCTTCATGGTCTTCGCCTTTGTCGCTTATGATGGCTGAATGACGGATGGAGTATATTGTTGCTGTTTGAACATATTTGAACCCATACCATGAACTGTATCTTTGGGGCTTTTCGTCGTACTTTGGTTTTAAGTGGTCGCGGGTCTCCTCAATATCTTCCTTTTCGCTGTCCTGCCCATGATGGCCGGGCACCTGTTCATTGCGCACATCATGCCGACTCGTATCCATCTATCACTAGTAGATGTTTCATCGGCCCTTGAAGCTTGGGGAAGCTTCTCACCTTCTAAGACTTCGATCTCGAGACTTGGAATCTCCCCGACAAGGAGCAAGGACGCTTCCGGGGTGGCTCCTGGCCTTACTAGGAACAAGAAGCTACTAGGAACAAGTGCATCGCTTCTAGTAACAAGTGCCTTACTAGTAGTAACAAGAAGCTACTAGGGGCTCCTGGCATCGCTACTAGGAACGGGGCGAAGCTACGAACGGGGCGACCCTGGCATCGCGAACCGAACGGAGCGATCGGACGCTACTTCCGATGCATGGAGGCATCCGTACTCCGTCAGGTTCTGTTGACACTGGCAGGAACTTTCAAAGCTCTAGCAGCCCATCCCGGCAGTTGAAATCAGGAGACACAAGAACATGAGTCGTCAACGCGAGTCATCAATCAATGAATTCAAGGAATCCGGTCTTCCTTTGATTCACAGGGCGGAGCTCGAATCTACTCCTCCCCGAGTCCTTGAAAATTCTGCAGAGAGCTGGTCGAGACCACTTTAGCTGCACCACCCCCAACCCGTCCAGCATCGGGATTTGACCCTCCAATGATGCATGTTTGTGCTATACGAGCAGGCTCCTGTCCGAAAGGCACATCACAGCATAGCCACAGTGTTTCGAGAAAGGCACGTCACGCGATTCCAAAAGCCACATCATGCGAATCCCGTCCTCGAAAATTGTCCTCGTTCGTTGCAAAAACATGGGCTTTAGTTGTGGGGAGCTATGGTTGTGACTACAAAATCTTGATGTAGTATAGGTGGCACGCGGAATCTCCAGGCTTCCAGCAACCCTCAAGACTGGCTCTCATTCATTGACTCCTGCGGAGCATTGAGAACATGGTTCAAAAGTGGCGGACCGCAAGACCTTTGCAAGGGACTGGACAAATGTTATCTACCAATGCATGGTCTTGGAGACCTTCAAACAAGAGCAAAACAGGAACACGGACCTTCAGCCAAAGACATACTTTTCCGCATGGCCACAGGCCTAAGATACGCCTCACGGCAAGAGCACAGTAGTTATTTGGAGAACCCTCCAACTGGATTCACCAGCGTCTGCCCTCCAACTAGAGGCCCACCCGCCCTGCAGTCGCACCTGGCAGGCGCACAAAGTCTGGCACCACCAAGCCCACCCAGGCGAGCATAGCCAAGCGTCCGTGCTTCAGCTCAGCCTGTGCTTCAGTCGTTTGAAGCCAAAAGCCGACAGATGTCAACGACCTCTAATGTCTCACCAAACCCTGGAGATGGTGACTCCTCGGCCCGGCAGCCCTGTGCGGAAAGGAGCATCTGCACAGCACGGCCCACTCAGAGGCTACTTTTGCTTTAGAGCTAGACCTCCTCCTACCTGACAATCTGACCTCGCGCCTCGCGGAAGTAGGGCACCAGCTCGGTCTTCTTGGAGAAGCCCAGAGGGTCGAACTCATAGCGGCCCCAGGCACCCTCGGAACCCACCAAGCCTGCGAGAAAGCTGGGGTAAGGGGGAGTATGAGAGTTCATCTTGAAGAGATTCTTGAACTGCCAACTGCTCGGCTTGCTTTCATGGTCTTTCCTTCAAA